CAAGAGGTCAGAACTAAGAGCCTTACCCTTCCTGCTTCAGCCAAGAGAGCTCTCCTGTGTGTTTGTCTTTATAAAGACTTTCCGTTCTGCCTTCTCATTGGTTGTAAACCCAAACACATGACTGCCTCATCACTGCCTGTCTGTAGAGACTTCCAGGTCTTCTATGGTTGGGATTGAGATTAAAGGCGTGTGTCTCCAATGCTGGCTGTATCCTTTTACACACAGAGATCTACCCAGCTCTGTCTACCAAGTGCTGGGATTAAAGGTGTGCACCACCACCGCCATGCTCTTGCTATGGCTCTAATAGCTCTGACCCCCAGGCAACTTTATTTATTAACATACAATTAAAATCACATTTCAGTACAAATAAAATACCACCATAGCCAAGGATACACAGAGAAACCCTGTCTGCAGGAAAATAGACTGTGAAAACACCAAACTGTGAACAACAAAAGCACAAACAAAAAACTATAGAGTCCATTCTATGTTGGTCAACTACTCCTGAATATGAGGCTGCACTGAAGAGGTTGATATACACAGTGTCACTCCATTAAAGAAGATTCATTTTCCCTCTTCCAGCAGATATAAATGACAATTCATTTATTAGCCTTTCCCCTGGTGACTAGGTCTTCATTCATGCATGCATTCATTCATTCATTTTTAACAAAATACATTTGAATAAGGTAGAACAAAACTATCATATCACAATTGGACATGACAAACCAACAGAAGAAAAAGAGCCCAAGAGAAGAACCAGAGACTCATTCTTTCAGCACTGAACTGAAAATCATAATCTATACCCAGAGGACCTGGTAAAGACACAGGCAGGCCCTGTGCATGCTACCTCAGTCTTTGGTTTCATATGACCTTTGCTCATGTTGGTTTAGAGGGCCTTGTTTCCTTGGTGTCCTCAATCCACTCTGGCTTCTTGCCTCCTCTTTTGCAAGATTCCCTGAACCTGAGGAGCAGGATTTGAAGGAAACATCACATTTAAGGTTGTTTGTCCCAAGGACTCTTTCTCTCTCCGCATAATGTCAGGCTGTAGGTCTCTCTATTTATTTCCATCTACTGAAGGATAAAGCTTCTCTGTGATAGCCAAATAAGGCACTGATATATGAGTATAGCAGAATATCTTTATGAATATTTTATTGCTTTGTTTTTTTAAATGTATTTTTTTGAGAACAATTTGGTTTTACCCTAGGTCCCTAGGCTAAAATCTGTTGTCTCTGGATTAATATGATCACTTTCTCAACATCTTACATCTAGTATTGGTGGAAAAATAATGTCCAAATTCCTCTTTCTTTGTACTTGAGCAGGAGGTACTTTTGGGTATATCTCTATGAGATAAGGTTACAGAGCACATTGAAGTAGGTGATGCGGGGGCACCTAGAGGGGATGTTCTGCTCTTGCTCTTCTATCTGCGTTTTGTGGTTCTGAGGTCTCACAATGTAGTTTAAAAACCTGTTTTATCTTAAAATATATTTCAATTTTTCTTTTCCTAATTTCAAATAAGCCTTTTTCTTCAGTAAACTTTTTAACTTAATAAATAGTGTGAATAGCAAGAATTCTAATAGTTTCAATTCAAATAGTTCCTTCTAATACTTCACTGGATTCAGGAGAATATAAAATTGAACAGGTTTTAATTACCATGTAATAATATAGAGTAGTCAATTCAAAGTGAATACTTGCACTCAGAAACATTTTTTCACCCTGATATTGTTTTTGTATTTTATAAACTGACATGTCTTCAGAGTGAGTTCATAATTGTCATACCTGTCTGAATTAATATTAGCATCTTTATCCTTTGCTTTTAGTTTCCTAAGTGTAAGTTGTTATTTGTGTCCAAATGTACATGTGTGTCTGTTGTGTAGTGTGAGATATATCAATGTATATACATGAGTGGTGGATGATATTTGTCACTATGCACGTGAACATAGAGACAAAAGAAGGTACTGACTATGAATATCTATGCAACTAAACCTCATTACCTTATGCCAAGTTGTCCACTAAGCCTGGAACTCTGTTAGGAAGGATTAATAGTCTGGTAGCCCATGGAATCTATTGGTCTAATCTTTTGAGCATTGCGTTAATCATGTACTGACATGGCTGGCTTCTGAAATGGGTTTGAGAATCCCAATTCATATCATAATAATTTATTAGCAATTACTCTTCAGAACTGAAAGTATAATATTTTATTAGTTATCAAGACCACTATCAATATCCACATTTTCCTGATGGTATTCTTCATTTCCTTATTCTGGAAAATGTATGCCATAGGATTGAGCAATTGTGTCAAGATATTGACAAATGTAACCAGAAAATGGCCATGTAGTTTATGCATATATTAATATGTATGGACAAAGAGCAAAACCACAATTGTAGCACGGCCTCCACAGGTAGAGAGAGCTTTACATCAACTTTCAGAGCTATGGGTTCTCAGAGAGAACAAGACAGCTCCATAAGAGACAAGCAGTAAGGAGAAGATAATGATGCAATTGGAACCACTATTTGCAGACATCAAAATGACAAAAATGTATGTCAGTGAAAGCAAGCTTCAGGAGTGGGAATAAGTCATATATATAATGATCAATAATATTGGGTCCACAGAAGGGCAGTTGCAAAGCAAAGATAATTTGTGTAATACAATGCAAGAATCTCCCCTTCCCAGGTTACCACAAGCAAAATGCCACAGATTCTCCTGGTCTTGATAGAAGAGTAGTAATGGGGTTTGCAAATGGCTAGATAGCAGCCATAGCTTTAAGGACAATTACCTCCCTACCAGTGAAAAAGGGTACAGTAAACTGTTGTGTCATGCAACATTCAAAGGAGATGGTTTTCCTCTCATAGAGGAAGTCTGCAATAAGCTTGGGTGTGACAGCAATAGAAGTACATGCATCTATCTAGTAATGACAGGAATATCAAGAAGTACATGGGGACTCCAGCAATTCAGGGGTAGAGATCATGGTTGCCACAATTATTATTTTATTTCCAATTGTTGCTAGTTAGACCAACAAAAATACAACAAGCAGTATTTTCTCAATATTTGGGTTCTGAGAAAGCCCCAGAAGTATAAACTCATTGACAAAGCTCATGTTTTCCATGATTCTCAAGAGGAAGACATAAGCAAAATGTGTTCATGTAAATCTGCAAACATGATAAAAATATGACATAGATGTTTATGATATTTAAATTAACACTGTTGAATTCTCATACGAAATTATACTGATTGATTTTATTACCATTATGAACAGAATATTAGAAAAATTCTAAGATTATAGTTGTGTGATATGCAGAAATGAGGCAGAAAAAATAATTGATTACTTAAAAACAATCATTTTTTGTTATTAATGATGAGAGTATCTATTTGTGTTAGTGGAGAGAAATAGTTTATCTTTGAAGTGCCCATTTTCGTCAATATCTGGGAGATTTTTATGTGAAATATTGAAAGGCAATTTGTAACTATATTGTAGATGCTAAAAAAATGCTATAACTTACTAATTTTGTCAGAAATTCAAATTGTATAATGCAAGAGTGAATAACCTGCTGTGACTGGTAGGAGCATTGCCTTATCAGCCAACAGAGGAAAAGGCAAATTACTGCAGAGTGCTCATAAAATCGTGCTCATATTTTAAATACCTTTAAAAGTACAAAGTAGATTGGAACTTCAAATAAATCAATTTATTCTTCATAATACTGAAAGAGCTGTGGGGTGTGTCAGCACTACACATGATGCATATGTTGAAAGTGTTATAATTTATCTTTTAATTCATCATTTTAAAACATAATTAAAGGTTTATAAAAATCATGGTATTGTCATAGCATCAGAGTACAATTAGTACAAAAATATTGTCTGCTATTCACAACTCAACATCCTAGTCAATATAGGAGGCAGGGTGATTATTGTTTTTCTATTTATGTAAAAGTTATAATAAGTATTTAAATTAAAGAGAAAACATATTAACCCGGGAATTTAAGAGACACAGGCTCCCATACCCTCAGGACTTCACGAAATCAACTAAGTATGAGGGTATTTTTCCTTAATGAGAATTTTATTGCACTGCTGTTCGTTCTCTTTTCCTCTCTATAAATATTAAAGCATCTTTTTATGTTGTCCATGTGTGAGTGAAGTATATTCATAAAGAGAGAAGAGTAAATGATGATTCAGAAAGTGATGGACCAATCACTTATACATGAAAATTTGTAGAAACACATAGTTGAAGAGCATCAACTTGTTCAATATAATTTAGGCCCTTGAGGATTAATTAATTGGTTCTTTCTTATGCAATGTTAACTTGTTTAAGAAAATACTATTCTACAAGACATGATTTAAAATTCACTAAAAATCATGTTCATAAATAGCTTGTATGCTCATCTCCAAGAGTTAGCAGAGGCTCAAACAGAAAGAGCTAAAATGTCACTCATGGTAACATTTTCTAACCATAATAAGGGAAATTTATTAACTTGACTAACCATAGTAAGGGAAATTTATTAAATTGAGTAAGACACGATTGTTTTACCCATTGAAAGCTCTTCCTTAAACACTACATAAATAGTCTAGCTCTAGCATATGTAATATGAAGTCTGTATCCACTCATGAGCTAAAACCAAGGAAAAGACAGGATAAAAAGAAATTCTATGAGTGATTGGATCAGACAATGATCAAAAATGATAGACAAAGAAATCAATTTACCCATTATCATTCAGTGACAGCACAGAAATGCCAGAAAAGTACAATGAATAAGCAAAGCACAGAGCATGCTACATAAGCATGAAATATCATAAATGAAACAGCATTTTTTTTATTTTTTATTTATTTTTTTTTATTTTTTATTTTTTTATTATTTTTTTATTTTTTTATTTTATTTTTTATTTTTTTATTTTTTTATTTTATTTTATTTTATTTATTTTTTATTTTATTTTATTTTATTTTTTTATTTTTTTTATTTATTTATTTTATTTTTTATTTTTTTATTTATTTTTTTTTTTAATTTTTTTTTATCAGTGTAGGCCACAAGATAGTAATGAACCATACGAAGTGGTATAGCTCATTGTGGAGTGTGGTCTTAACTCATTCTCCCAAATAGCCCCAGTTGGTTAAGGTGAAACAGCATTTTGTACAATGATGATACTTAGAAATAAAAAGGAAAATGCTCTAGACTCTTGAGATTTGTATTCAGATCCAGATCCTCACCATTTTCTGTGGCATACATCAGGTTACTTTACGACCCTAAAATTCTATAAGCCTTAGATTTTGATTATAAAAATAGATTTCAAGAAAGCTCTTTTATAAATTCACATAAAAATAATGATGAAATAATAAATGTATTAGGAGAAGATGAGTATCAAAAATAAGTTTTCCCATGGAATGACAGAGAGCTGAGAAAATAATTTTAGTTTTGAGTCTTACATTTACATAGCCAAAGCTCATAAGTGATTTTGTTCATTTTTATTTGCATAGTAAACTGCTTTACTTCATTGATTGCAAGAAGATATGATGGTTTCAGTACACAATGATTCTAATGGTCTTAGTAATCAATGGTGAAGTGCTTTGGCCCTTGTACTCATTCACGAGGATTTCTGTTTCAGATAGCTTTCTTGGAAAAAAGAAAACTGACTTGAGTGGGAAATTCCAATGGAACAAAGCCCAATATAAATATGAACTAAATCTTAGCTTTCTGTTTTATGTTCTATTTAAGGTCATCCATAGTTCTTAATTATTGACACCATCACTTCTGCATTAAAGTAATTTCTAAAACATCCACAGTGGACAGTACAGTGTAATCATGATATGTGGTCATAGTGCTTATGATACTATTATTTAGAAGAAAATTAGCTTAAAGAAGAGGTGTAGTCTGAATTGAATCATAGAATACTTAAAAGATAATAGCTGAGCCAGGTGGCGGTGGTGCATGCCTTTAATCCCAGCACTCGGGAGGCAGAGGCAGGTGGATCTCTGTGAGTTCCAGGCCAGCCTGGTCTACAGAGTGAGACCCAGGACAGGTACCAAAACTACACAGAGTAACCCTGTCTTGAAAAACCAAAAAAAAAAAAAAAAAAAAAAAAAAAGACAATAGCTGTAGCTGGAGTTTTCGCCAGTCCTGCCTGGTCCACAGTCAGGACAAATCTCTCTCACACGCCAGTCCCACAGCCACTTTGACCCAACCGAGTAAACACATAGAGACTTATATTGTTTAAACTGTTTGGCCTAATGGCTCAGGCTTCTAGCTATCCAGTTCTTACATCTTAAATTAATCCATTTCCATAAATCTGTATCTTGCCACATGGCTTGTGGCTTACCGGCATCTTCACATGATGCTTGTCATGGTGGCAGCTGGCAGTGACTCCTTCTGCCTTCCTGTTCTTTCTTTTCTCCTCTCTGTTAGTCCCGCCTATACTTCCTGCCTAGCCACTGGCCAATCAGTGTTTTATTTATTGACCAATCAGAGTAATTTGACATACAGACCATCCCACAGCAAATAGCTGAAACACGGTCTAAACATAAATAGAATTTGCTACTTAGATGAGGCAATTATGTACCTGTATACTTCATTGTAATGACAAATGCATGAATGGTAAACAATGTGACAGAACCAAATGAGTGATATCCTAGAACCTGCTATACTGTTTTATTTGTGTTATTTAAATTTAGACTCTATAAAAATGTTAAAAAGAAGTTTTTAAATATCTACGTTCTGTATGGGGGCTTCTAAGAAGAGAAGTGGATATGATTACAATTAATTGTATACATGTGAAAATGTATCTAAAAAGAACTAAAATATATTTTAAAAGTATGTAACAAATAATTTGATATGTACTAGCCATGTGTAATTTAGTTACCTACCACACCACAAGGAATTTTGTCCAAGAAAGGCTATTTTAGTGGGGTTGACAAGGTCTAATGTCACCCAGGCTGAAATCAAATTCACTGTTGTATCTTGTGATAACTCTGAACTCTTGATCCTTATGTTTCTTCTCTAAGTACTGATATTACAAACTCCTGCTGCCACAGGCAAATCAACCCATAGGACTTTTTATCATATTCCATCAAAAGGAACATGTGGCAATTAGTGACAGTGTCTGCATATCCAATTGAGATGAAATAGTTAAACCATTAAAAGAAATGGTCTTTTTATAGTCACATTTAAAAATATATCCAATTACTTTGACATCTCTTCATTCAGGAAAAATTTTAGAGCACATATTGGAAAATAATTGCAGCCCCCTAAGCATGTTTTTATTTTTTAAAACAGAAATCCATGCCCAAAGATTTTTTTCTAAAAATCAAATGAGGAATTTTGAAAATAGAATATAATATGGTGTTAAAATATTGGAAAATGAAAAAGGAAAACCTTCAAGTTAAGATATGTAAATAAGACTTAAAAATTACTGTCACATGATTCTATAAATAAAACCCTAATTATATACACGAAAAATGAAGTGTTCTAAATGTTTAAGAAAAGAAGAGGAAAATTGTGGGAGCCCCTTTTCAGGTTCCCCGTGGCTTTACCCAGCAGGTCCACATAGAGGATGATTAGGGCCATGGGCCTGAGTGCAGGTGTCTGAAATGCTCTGCACTTGGTTGTGCTGGGGGAGGAGGTCTTTTGTTCCACCCCTTGGCATCTCTATAAATACTCTGGGGCAGAGACAGTCAGGGCCCCGTTGGAATAGGTTCTAGGCCCTCTCGAGGCTATCCTGTATTTTCTATCTGTTCATCTCCACAATCTGAATCCTTCTATCTAATATTTCCTGCTGCTTGCACTCAAGAAAACTCTGGAGAGCTGTGGGGTTGGTGGGTAAACACCCCACAGAAAATGAAATGTCCATTTATGAATGCATTAAGTATATTCTATAACATATATTTAGAGTGACATAAAATGGTAGACTTTATTTGTAATTTTAAGTATTTTGATTTTAATCAAATAATTAACCAAAAGTGAACCTAGTGAACTAATGTAACAGGGCATCCATTTTATAATGGCGATCTTAATCTATTATCATCTTTCCATGAATGACCATACTATCATAACCTTTTCCACCTACAATACTCTTTGATATCAAATCCTATTGTCATGTAGGAACTATTTCATTTTCTCTATTGTTCTCCTGATCTATTTCATAATGTTCTCTCCTTTAAAAGCCATGCTTTGAAAAATTCTAGCTCAAAGATCCCTCACAGTGGACAATGTGGCCACTGAGTCATTTCCTGATCAGTAACTTAGAGAAGTGTGCCTCCTTAGCTCTACCATCCACTTTGCCTGCTACTTCCTTCCCATTCAAAGTTAATTATAGAACTAATCTATCCACATGTACTAGAACATCTTTGTTAACTGTGCAGTATATTTATCATACAAAATTATCAGAGGAGTGAGTAGAATGGTTATCATTATAACTTGTTGCTTATAATTGTATGTTAAAAAATACTGTTATTATCAATGATGATAGTACATTAAAATCCTATTTTAAATTGTCCCGTATCTTTAGATCTGTGAACACATTACAATTTTTATCTGAAAATGTTATCTTTCATTAAAAGACATATTTCTTGCATGTGTTTGTGGCTAAGCAAATCTTTCCATGACTGTAGGAAGGATATTCTCTTCAGATTACTAATCATTTTTCTCTCGTATCAATGATGCTTTTTCCAACTTCCCTAAATGTCTACAGTTCTCTTACAATTTCTGAAATACAAGAGAAATAAATTTTCTGTTTTCTTTCATGTTTTTCCTAATGGATTTCTGACTTCTCTTTGATGACTTGGTGATTCACTTCGTTTTAAGAGAGAGTTGAAGTCACAACTACCAGCACTGAAGCAGTTCAGAACATCAGCCATTTAGATTTCCTGAACAGTTCTGAAGTAAGACCTAATGCTTATGAAAAATTAAGAGAGAATGATCAAACCAGAAGACTTCACTCTGTGATTTTTCATTATTTCTGACTGAAGCGACATTCTCTGTACCATGTTGGGTATTTCTGTGGAAATAGAGCATTTTGAAATCTCTATCAGTACATCTGTAAGGTAAGGGAGCATTGCGGTTTATTATGTCACTGTTTTAGCGATCATCACACAAACTCAAAGCATACCCTCAATCCAACCATAAAATGCTGAGTTTCTACTACATAGATGAACTTACACTTAAAACAACAAAATATCATTGAAGAGACACTAGAAAAATAAACTTCTATTGCATTTCTAAATTATTTGGTTTCAGCTAAAGATAAAAAGCTAAAATGTGTTTAATTTCATTATACTTGAAGAAATACATGCTCAGAAGAAATTAAGGGAAAAACTCTCTAGGAAGGAAGGACTGAAGGCAGGAATTTGCACTATAAAACTAGTTATTTTAGCCTGTGAGAATGTGAGCAATTATTCATTGTTAAGGCCTATTCTCAAATTTCCTCATATATCATTTTATTAATAGCCTCACTCTCATAGCCAGAGATGTTCTCCTGATGGCCCTTAGATGTGAAAGGAAGAGATAGAATCTTGGTCATAGCTGAATGTAAAATGTGTCTATCCAGATTTTTCCTAGAAGTCATACTTGGTGAGATACAGAAGCCACACTATGGATTATCTATCAGAAGTGCTTTTTAATTTGTGATAAAATGATTTAACAATTGGGTATTGGGGGCAGTGTGTTGTGTCCATTTATTTTATTTCATAACTACTTGTTCTTGAGAGCATAGAATAAACCCCAGTTCTTAGATTCCTTTCCTTAAAAAAGATTGTGTGACCAAAGTCAGTGTTTTAAGTATGTTCCATAATGGTTGCTAAATAAAACATAAATAAAGTTTCCAAAATTCCTCCCTCACTGCATCTGAAATTTGAAGATTTTTCCTGAGACATCATGAATCTATGAGACTAATTCTCTAGTTCCCCAGGATTTGTAAAATGTCTTCTCCCATGAGATTGTAAGACACAGTTCAATTCAATTTTTACATACTTGCATCTATGTTGTAGGAATCAAAGGAAGCCTTGGATGAGTACAATCTTGAAAGAATGTATATTTTTGATATGGGTTTGACTATGCAGAAGATTCCAAGACCTAATATCCGTGTGATATTGACAAAGCCATACCCAATACAGGTCAGATTCAGGAAAACAAGGATATCCTCTGTCCAAGTACAAGTGTATATCT